AAAGAAGAGGGAGTCAAATATTCTCCAAGGCACCCGAGGGCAGGACAAGAAGCAATGGGTGGAAACTAACCAAGGAGAGAAGCAACTTAGAACCGAGGAGGAATTTCCTGACAGTTAGAACAATTAATCAGTGGAACAGAAGTTGCCTCCAGAAGTTGTGAATGCCCCAACACTGGAAGCTTTTAAGAAGAGTCATTTGTGTGAAATGGTAGAAAGTCTCCTGTTTGACTCTAGGGGGTTTGGACTAGAAGACCTCCAAGGTCCCTTCCAGCTCTATTCTGAATTGTGGGTGGGGGGAAACTGTTGAAAAATGGTGTCACATATAACATTGAGCCAGGAGGCAGGCACAGATTGCAAACGGCGACAACTAGATGGAATCAAATATTTATTTTGATCATAGATCAGCATGAAATAATGCTGGAGAACCCCAGATATTAGCCAAAATCAAACAAACCCCATTATTGGCTTAACGTGACATGATAAACTGGTCCATATGTTGATCATGCTATTGAATAGCAGGAACTGATCATAAGCATAAATGCATGATACTTTCTTTGTGTGTGCGTGCGTGTGTGTGTGTGTTTTGCCTGCTAAACATGTAATAAATATCCATATACTACGGTTATTTCTGACAAGTGCAAACATGGCCACTGGTCTGGTTTTGCTGTCTCCAGCCATTATACAATTATTTGGGCAACACTTTTTCTGTCGAGGGGGGGGCATTGGTTCCACCAAGGCATTGCAGTAAATCTTAGGCCATCCAACTTGTACTAACCCACACACACACACACACACACACCCTTTTTTTTGGCTATGAAACGTATCGGCAAATTGTAGGTTATGGTTCTTTGTCTGCTTCTATTATCCCTCTTACTGCCGATTTTCTCATTGTGCCTGTCCTAAAATATCCTTTCTTACGGGGAGAGTAAAATGGTAAATAAAATGGCTGTGGGGGGGAGTGGATTTGAGCTTGGTGGTTTCCTTGCAGGCATTTTGTGACCCAGGTAGGTAGCATCATCAGTGCTGGAACAGAGGAGGGTGTTTTGGAGAGGAGGAGAAGGAGGAGGAGGACCGTGGGGGTCCTTGGTGCTCCCCGAGCTTCGTGGTTTCCTTGCAGATATTTCATGACCCAGCTAAGTAACATCATCAGTGCTGCTGCTGTGCTGTTGATGATGTGATGATCGTCAGTGCCGATTTGTACTGATGATGTTACTTAGTTTGGTGATGAAATGTCTGCAAGAAAACCACCAAGCTCAGAGGGCACCAAGGACCTCACAGCCATCCTCCTCCTCCTCCTCCTCCTCTTCCTCCTCTTCCTCCTCCTCGCAACCCCCCCTTCCTTATAGCACTGATAATGTTCCCTAGTTGGGTCATGAAACATCTGCAAGAAAACCACCAAGCTCAGAGNGTGTGTGTGTGTGTGTGTGTGTGTGTGTATGTATGTATGTATATGTGTATGTATATTTGTATGTGTATGTATATATGTATGTGTATGTATATGTATATGCATATGTATGTGTGTGTGTGTGTGTTTTGCATCATCAATTTTGGGTACTATGCTTCGGTCAGACCACAGGAGACGTAGTTCCAGATTGTCCAAGCTCAAAATTAAGAGCCTAGTGGCGTAAGGGATTCTGTTGTGAGCAGAGGAGCAGAGGACTCGTCTCGTGAAATACCTCTGGACTCGCTCGATCGTATTAATGTCGGATATAAAGTGTTTTATTTTATTTTCTTCCCATGTCTGCGGAGACCCCAATCTCTTTTCCAAAATCTGACGTTATTGCCTAGATTCATGTCTCATTTTAAGCCAGGGTCTTTTTAAGCATCGCTCGTCAAACAACAGCCCCTGTCAAATCTGCAGATGACAGTAAACTGGCCGACACCCCGGAAGGCGAGTTCAAGATCCCAAAGGATCTTGACAGACTTGAACGAACGACGGATCTTCTCCAACAAAATGAAATTGAATGTGGAGAGAAGCAAGGCTTTGCCACCTGGGCAGGGAAAAACCAAAGGTACCAAGGGCATTTTAAGAGAGACCTGGCTCAAAAACAGTCACTGCGAGAGGGACCTGGGGAGTCCGAGCCGACGGTCACTTAAACACGAGTCAGCCGTGTGCGGCAGCTGCCAAAACAGCTAATACGATCCTTGGTGGCGTAAACAGAGGCACAGAATAAAAATCACATGAAGTATTAGTACCGCTTGATAAATCTTTAGTAAAGCCACATCTGGAATACTGCATCACCAGAATTAGAATCAGAATCAGAATAGAGCTGGAAGGGACCTTAGAGGACGTCTAGTCCAGCTCCCTTCTCAAGCAATTCTAGCAATAGCAATAGCAGTTAGACTTATATACCGCTTCATAGGGCTTTCAGCCCTCTCTAAGCGGTTTACAGAGTCAGCATATCGCCCC